GAAGACTTACAGCCTTGGAAACCCTTTATAGGCTCAAATGTCTTGGTCCCCGTGAAGAGACCCATGGAGGAGAATGGTATTAAAGATTCCAGTTCTGAGCACCTTTGCTTTCTTTGGTGTCAGATGTAGACAGATACCTCAACCATTCTCTGCTCAGAGATAAGAAAATGTTTATCTTAAAATCTGTAACTAACAGTTACTATGGAGACCTTTTACATACCTCCTGTACCCTTCCTGAAGTTGAAACTTGGATCAATATTTCTTCAAGTTCATTTGTTTGTTGCCTGAAACTTTCTTTAATACTAGAGACTCTTAGACTATTTGGACTGAAAGGACCAATCCTTTAAAGTGATGCTGGAGTGTCTCTCTTCTACAGTATAGCCAACATATTGTCATTTGTTGTATACCTCCTCAGGCTGTGCCTGTATAATTCCAGGCAGGGACATTACATATACTGTCCTGTGAATGGTGTCTTCAGACAAAAGAACACCATAATTCTAATATTTTCTGTAAAGCTGTTACTTTGTTCATATGAAAAATTTACTGGAAGAACTAGATGGTGCCTTGCTTTCACTATCAACTACTCTGAAAAGGATCACATTAGAAGATGCTGGATAAAGTGGGTGTCTTAGATAGAACTGTGTCCCTTGCTTCCCACCCCCAATATGTGTGTCAGCTTGATCTTGGTCATGATTCTTAATGGTTTGGAAGTTATGTAACAGTGTAATGTGGCCATCATGGTACTGTTGAGTCAGTTCTGACTATAACGACTCTGTATCAGGATTAAGAGTGCTGCTTCCCAACTGGTGTGGCACTTGACTGCTTACTGTAAGGTTGGCAGTTCGAACCCATCAACTCTTCACTTTACCAAGCATGATGTCCTTCTCCAGGAATTGGTCCTTTCTGATACTATGTCTAAGGTACAAGAGGCAAAATCTTGCCATCTTGTTTCTAAGGAGCATTCTGGCTGCACTTCTTTCAACACAGATTTGTTTGTTCTTCTGGCAGTCCATGGTACTTTCAGTACTCTTCACCAACACCATAACTCAAGCTCACCTATACTTCTCTGATTCTTTATTCATTGTCCAACTTTCACATGTATATGATGCAGTTGAAAGTACCATAGCTTGGGTCAGGTGCACTTTAGTCCTCAGAGTGACATCATTGCTTTTGCAATAGCCTGTTGCCTAAGGCTATATGCTGTTTGATTTCTTGATTGCTGCTTCCATGAGCATTGATACTTTAGATCTAAACAAATGGAAGTCTTTAACAACTTCAATCTTTTCTTCACTTATCATGCTGTTATTTATTAGTCAAGTTGTGAGGATTTTCATTTTCTTTACATTGAGATGAGGGAATGTAGGGTTTGAGACATTAAACCATTTGTCCCAGGTCTCACTGTGAATTAGTAGTAGAATCTAAACTCAGATTCTCCAAAATCCATGCCTGGTATACCGCCAGATACTCAAGCACTCTTTTGATTATGAGAATGTTTGTATTTTTACTTACAAAATGGGAGTTTTATATTTAACCATATCTTTCTTATTTGCCCTTAGAATTGCCATGGGTCTCAAATGAAACCACGCATGTGCCATAAAAGTTATTTTAAGAGCAATTATTGAGAGACGATTTAGACCATAAGACTTTGGGAAGGGTACAGCAATGAGGACAATGTTCTCTTCCCTCCAAGGTTTTGTCATCTAATGGAGTTATAATTACTTTCCCCTCTCATCAAATCTTTTACCAGAGGAGACAATATATGTTTCACTTGTTTCTTTATAGCTATCTTGGCACTCTGACTTTGCTTTCCCTGAAACATGATTATTAGTAGAAGAGAAATGTTCACAAGGCAGGCAATGCTGGTAAAGAGAAAAGAAAGATGCTCAGTCCTCCAGTTACAAGATAGTCGGTTCTTGGAGGAACATTCTGGCACCTGTCATCCTTTCTATGGCACTCTTTACTTCTTTGCTGACTTTGACATTAGTTACAATGTTGTTGTTGTTGTTGTTAAGTGCAATGGCCACACACAACTCAAAGCCCATACTCACAGTTGTGGCATTTATTATGGAAGTAATAGGCTACAATCCAGGATCAGAAAGACTCAGGATATAGTTATTCATTCAGGACAGCGTCATCTTAGCTGTGCCTATAGACATTCCTCTCTGTAATCCTCAGCCTTAGTCCATATCTCTACCCTGCTTGAGCAAAGGGTACAAAGCTCTTTTAGTTCTGCCTATAAATGCCCAGAGGCACCCCACTTTGCTGGTAAACCTTTTGCCTGAAGGTACTTAGCTGTCTTGCTCCATGGGCCAGGAAGTCCACTGTGTCATCTCCTACTGGTTTTCTGGTTCTGCTGCTACCTTTTTTCTGCCCTCACATCTTGCCATTTGTTTGTTGTTAAAGCTTTCTCTCTGTCTCCTGAATCTAGGAGGTTTTCAGTACAGGGGACTCATGGTCCAACACCTCAGGTCTTGAAAGTTGTGAAGTCTCCCTTGTGCTTTGGAATTGATTCTCTTTAAATTTAGTGGGATAGCAAAACTGACAAATCCTCTGGTTAGGGTTCCATATACCTTATTTGTGTGGTCCTTCCCTGCAAATCATCACTCATGGAAGCAGCAGTCAGGAAGTTAAATGATACATTGCACAAATCTACTACAAAAGTTTTCTTTAAAGTATTAAAAACCAAAGACACCACTTTGAAGACTAAGGTATACCTGATGCAAGCTATATTTTCAATCACCTATAAACATGCAAAACCTAGACAATGAATATGTAAGACTGAATAAAGAATTCATATTTTTAAAATATGGTATTAGCAAAGAATATTCAATACACCATGGACTGCCAGAAGAATGAACAAATCTGTGTCGGAAGAAGGACAGCCAGAGCGCTTCTTAGAAGTAAAAATGGTGAGACTTTGTTTCATGGACTACGGATATATTAGAGGAGGAATCAGTTACTGGAGCAGGGAGACATCATGCTTGGTAAAGTCATCAGAAAACAGGAAGATCCTTAATGAGATGGCTGATACAGTAGCTGCAACAATGGGTCCAACCTAGCAATGGTTGTGTGGATGGTACAGCACTGGGCAGTGTTGAATTCTGATGTACAAAGGGTCACTATGAGTTGAAACTAACTTGATGGCATGTAGCAACAACAATTCCCTTTGGAAAGACCATGGCGGAACCATGTCTGATGTCCCCTGGCTTCACAAGGGGGAAAGACAATCAAACTCAAAATCAGCCCAAGTCTGATTCCTAAGAAGGTCAGACATACTTCTACCCTACAATCTTCTTAACCCTGTTTTGACATCAACCACCCCTCCCACAATGCTTTCTATTTCACATCTGGGTTCAAGAATCCAGTGCAATGGGCACACAGAACTCATAACAATACTCATGATTATGGGGTTTATTAGGGAAGTGCACAGTCCAGGATCACAATCATCTCAGGATGCAGCAGTTCCCTGGTCAGGAACTCTTCCTGTCTGCCATACTGCAGACACACCTCACTCTTGTTTTCAGCCTTTCAGTCATGTGGTCCCTTGGTCTCTGCCCTGTTTGAACACAGGTTACAAAGTTCTTTTAGCTAGTCTGTGGTGTCCAAAGAGTACATTCAAGACAGTCTCCTGCCCGTAGGCACTCAGCTTTACTCAATCCAGAGGTCTAGAGCCCGATGCCGCTGTCTCTTCATGACATCGCCTCTGCCATCTCTTGCTGTCACCTCTGCAGTTGCTGTTTTTCTAGGTAGAACTCTCACATGTCACTCATGCTCTTCCTTCTTGATGGTCCTGGGATCTTCTGCCTCTGCTTCTGAGATGAGTCCTTTTAAACCTAGCTGGAGGACAAAACTAACCAATCCCAGCCTGAGAGTCCTGTATATCTTATTTGCATCCCCCTCCTCCAATCGCTTGGGAGGAATTAAGAAGACTTTGGATAGAAAAGTCAGATCCAGTAAATTCAAGGCACCACACCCTCAAGGGTGCCATGTACCTTATTTGTATTATTAGCAAACTATCCAATTGCCTTGGTGATAGTTACAGGACTACGGCTAGAAGAGCCATATTAAATAACTCCCTGCACTGTACTTTGCATGGGTGCAAAGATTATTGGTGTGAGATGAAATAAATTCCACACCCCTTGGGTCCCTGAGATTTTATAAGCTATGATATTAGAAACTAACATAAGACCTCTGGGTGCTTAGAGAGGAAAGGATGAACCAGGGATAGGAAAGGGGATGAAGATGAAAGTACTATTTAATTGGTGGGAACAAATTTCACCACATTAAAGTTTTGTTTGTGTACCTGATGGCAACTGTCTGCCTTCTCTGTTTTTGGGCACAGGTTATATATAGTGCTGATACCTAGAAGACTATGTAGATAGGGGCATAAATAAACTATAAGGTGAGAGGTCCACCTACTCAGCTCTACATGCTCTGGGATACCTGAAATCTCCCAGTGACCTTTTTGAAGGCAGCTTTCACATCCTTGTTTCGCAAGCTATAGATCAGAGGGTTCAGCATAGGGATGACCACAGTGTAGAAGACAGACACAACCTTGTCTTCTTCCAGAGATTTTCCTGAGCCACTCCTTATATACATGAAGATAAGAGTCCCAAAGAAGAGGGCCACAGCAGTGAGGTGGGAGATACAGGTGGAGAAAGTCTTGGCCCTACCACCTGAAGAGTTCATCCTCAAGATGGTCTTGATGATGAGCATATAGGAAATCAAGATGATTAAAGCATTGACCAAGATAACAAAGTTGCCAAAGAAAACAATGACAATCTCCACGTTTGTTGTGTCACCGCAGGAGAGTTTCAGCAGTGGTGGGAGGTCACAGAAGAAGAAGTTGATCTGATTGTTATTACAGAAGGGAAGCGTGAAGGTACACGTAGTACGCAGTATGGCCCCTGACACGCCACAGGCATAGGCTCCTGCCACCAAGCTCCAGCAGATTCTGGAATTCATGGCCACAGTATAGAGCAATGGGTTGCTAATGGCAACATAGCGGTCATAGGCCATTACTGCAAGCAGGAAACACTCTGTCCCTGCACAAATGGTGAAGAAAAAGAACTGGGCAGCACATTGACCATAGGAGATGGCTGTTTTGCCTGTGGCCAATGTGGCCAGAATCTGAGGGGTAATGACTGAAGTGTAGCATGTATCTAAGAAGGAAAGATGGCTCAGGAAGAAGTACATTGGGGTATGGAGGTGGATATCTACTTGGATCAGAATGACCATCCCCATATTTCCAAGGAGAGTAACTATATAGAAGCTCAGAAACACCATGAAGAGGGGAACCTCAAACTTGGGATGATTAGTGAATCCTATGAGGATGAACTCAGTGACTGTGGTAAGATTATTCTTGGCCATGGATGCAATGTTGTAGAATATTGATCTAAGGAGAAGAAGGAAGTTAAACAAGTCTGAAATTGAGAGAGATTCTGCACTAGGAGTTAGACACATATATTTCTAAGTCAAGTTACTTTTCAGAAATCCTGTACCTGGTTGATTTCTTCTTGGGCATCTAGTTTCTTCTTATGCAGTTTAGGAAGCTGAGCATTAACTTGATATTCATATTCAAATAAATTCTGGCTCATATTTGGATATTCCTGTGAGGATAAGAGACACATAGACTTTCAAATTTGGAAGCGGCGACATCTATTTTAATCCCCATCTAATGCTGGAGTCTTTTCTACCACATGCCCATCATGTGATTGGTCATCCAGTTGCTTAATCATTGGACAGCACCATTTTTTAATTCTTTGTGGAATTAACCACATTCTCTATCCCTGTAACTTCCACACACTGGCCTTGATTTTACTCTTTCCACAGTTGCAATTCTAATTCCTTCTCATGAAAGACTTTCAGAAGTTGGAAGATGATGAAACTGTCTTTAATGTTGACTTTCCCCAGATTACACATTGATAGAACTTTCTTCTCCTTATATAATTAGTCAAGCATATGGTAAAACAAAAACAACAACAACAACAAAAAACAAACCCGAGTTGGAATGGTATTAAATGAAAACTAAAAGTCTTTGTTGGTACGTTTTCACTTGAGTATTTACCATCCCTACTCACAGGTCATCATTTTCGTTGCATTGCATTTAACGCTTTAAAAAAATTGTTTTTGGTTATTTATTGTACATGATGACAAATAAATTCAAATTAGTGGCCTTCTTATTTTCTAGTTCTATGACCTTTGGCAAGTTATCTAACCCCTTTCTACTTTAATTTCCCTATCCACAGCATGAAAAAAATCAGCCTATGTCATATTGCTCTTTGGAGTATTATTGTTGTTATTGTTACATGCTTTTGAGTCAATTCTCACCCACAAAGACCCAGTATAGGGTTTCTGAGGAGTGGCTGGTGAACTTGAATTGCCAACCTTGCGGTTCAAACCAACTTTGCAGTCTAGTGCATTAACCTACAGTGCCATGGAAGGACTCCATTTTGAGTATTAGATAAGTTAATAATTGTAAAAGGTGAAGAGCAGTGCCTGGACCACAGAAAGAGCTAATAATGTTAGTTATTACTATTATTATTATCATCATCAATTTTAGATAGTATGTATTGACTTCCTGTTCTGGAAGATAATGAATTTCTCCCACATAAACTTCATTATATTTCTGTCTTTAGATCTTTTGTGAGTTATCTTTATAGCTTTAAATAATATATTCGCATCTCTACTTTGTCCAATAATTGAGTGAGTAAATTTGGCGTCTCACTGAGTGAGATGAAGAATTTATTCCACCATTCTTTCCTCTATCTTCCTCCTTGCCCCATTTAAAATAAACAAGCATTCTATTCACTCAACAATTCCTCCTATTCTAGTTAAGTCTTCTATACTTTGCCTGTGGATTGTAAGTGGTATTTCTCTATTATGATGACACACATGCCATTTTCTGAAAGACTAAGTAGTGGATATGTAGACAAAAAAATGTTATTTCTGTTGCTTCTAGGAGAAGCTTTCAAACATCATATTAAATGAATGTTTGTCTTCTACTTTACCAATTGCACAAAATAATTATGCTATAGTTTACTTTGGGTGAGGGCATTCTTTTTCATTTAATAAAATTTAGTATTGCCACATGATACAGTTTTGAGTTACATCAGAATATTCCATGCTTGCTGCTGACCACCTTCCGTGCCCATCAGGATCCCTGTTAAAGTGCTTCATGTCCAAGTGCCCCTTGGGAAGTCTTCCATGGCAGCCCAGAATCATACGATCTTTCCTCAAATACATCTGCCATGTACTAGGAATTTCCACATACAATATTTTATAGATTCTTCCCAACAATCCTATGAAAAAGGTGGTGTTGAACTTACTTATAAATGGGAAATTGAGATCAGACATTTGAAACTTTTTTACCTACATGGGGTTGTGTGGTAGATTCAGGGTTCATGTGCAAGTCTACTGAGTCTATTAATTGCTCCCCCTGGGTTGTGTCCTTGGCTTACTCAGCAATACCTCTTCTCAATCTTCTCAGGTTGGAGACTTGGTGTGGCTCTGTAGGATAAACCCTGGATTGCCAGCCACAAGTTTGGTGTGTAGACCCACTAGATTCTCCTTGCTAGGAGTCAGAACTGACTTGATGGCATCTAACAATCTTCTCAGGTTAGAATTGACTAATTCAGAGTCCTTGAATCTATAATCATACTCATGATTACTAGAATTATGTCATCCAGAAACTCTGGCAAATCCATGATGACCAAAGTTGTATTATCAAGAAACTTCTTTCCTTATAACACAGCTAGGGATTTTCTTTGCTGAAAGTAATATGGAGATTGTCATTTAAAACAAAATTGATAGTATAAAAATGATTCTTCATAATATCTCCTTATATTGATTTTACATCTGAATATCTGTGATTGCCTCCACACCCCTATGAAGTGGACATAATTGATACTTTCATTATTCGGGAGATGAGAAAACTGATACCCAGAGAGGTTAAAAGTCAAAGTCAAAGAATTAGTTGTTTGCAGACCTGGGTATAGTATAGTAAGTAGTCAGTTTCTCTGATTTCCATAAACAACTGTTCTTCTTTTATCCCACATGAGGTTTAATTCCTCTGGGATGTTTCAGCAAGAGGATTTGGATTTATGATGAAGTTCCCAAGCAGCCCAGGTTGTAGAATCACCTTAACAGCTTTATTCTCTAGGTGGGTACAGGAACCAACAGCACACATTTCTGCCAGGCCTAGTAAAACGGCTCTTGGATCAGGGGCCTCCTCCAGCTCTAACAAGTGGTCATACATCATATAAAGCATGGTCTCCTAGGGTTGTTCTTTATCCTCCCCTTCCCTGTCCCACTCATTCCAGAAGCTTGATCCGGGATGAGCTGGTTTCTCTGGAAGGCTCTGTTAGTCTGGTCAAACTCCATGCCTGCTGTGTTTAGGATAAGCACTAACTAGGCGAATAACCTTCAAAAGTTTACTTTCCCTTCCTGGGTTTTAGTTTCGGGTCTGAAAGTGATGGGAGTAGATTGTGTAATCATTAGCATGTCTCTGACATCTGTACTTTTATATGTTTAGATATTGGGTTAAATGAGGCAACTGAAAGCATTTTCTTAATATCTATACTATTTGAAGAATGCATACTTTTTAGTTACTAATTATTGTGTACCAGGAGTCCTGGTATGGCTCCAAGGGCTAATGCGTCAGACTGCAAAGTCGTTTGAACTGCAAGGTTGGTGGTTCAAGGTCACTAGCTGCTCCTTGGAAACCCTGTACAGGGTCGCTGTGGGTCAGAATCTACTCAACCAACAGTACTTACCAAGAACAGCATTGTGTATCTAAAATATGCAAACATGATTTCAATTGATTTATAGTTATTTAAATAAAATCTCATGCTATCTCAGGTCCAGAATTGAGTTAAATATATTCCCTAATTTCTGAAACCCCAGCAGCATTGTTAAGGGCAAAGTGCTT